TGCTCCTCTCACCCAACTCCTGATTCATATCCAGCGCCTCGGAAATCCCGGCAGATTTCCCATCAGATGAAAGATTAAAAGACAAATCATCAGTGTCTCGGCCATAGAAGTTAGTTTTGTTTGAGTGAACGCAGTGAGGTTCAGCTGTGGACACCCGTCACTTTGTTTTAGGCCAGCAGTACCTAACTCTTTTATTCCAGCGTAACCACAGACTGGAGATGGACAGTGCTAACCCGCTAGCTCAAGGAAGTCCAATAGGGAAGTGCTCATGGGCGCCCCAACTCGCTCTGGCTTCCATAGACTCAAAAATGAAGAGTGAACTCCTCTTGCTCAGTAACCTTTTGTGTTATTCACCGTTTTGCACTTTATAATCTCTCTGGGATCCTGGCATTTATGTCTTGTTGGCTTGTTAGCAACATGTCCGCTTTAGAGCCAAGTTCAATTCGGTTCAACGTTAGACTCTTAATTAGTTAGTTAGCACGTTGGTGAATTTCTCCGAACCAGGTCTGTTTTAGCCACAATGAATTTCAAAATGTTGCAGAAGACCCATATATAGCGGCAGATTCGGCATGGTCACATGATCTTTAAGTGATTGCCATATTTTTCGAAAGGATAGAATAATCCATCAGCGGTCCATCTCCATCTCTCCAACCATTGGCTCAGATAGATACTAGTAGCTAGGCAGCCCCTTTCAAGTAGCTCTCCAAAATAGAGTTTAACACACAATCCTAAATGATTTTATTTTGTCTATTTGAGTCTTTACTGTGTATAAATGTGAGGTTATACAGTGTTATGGTGTATTTTAATTACATATGTGTAACTTTTTGCCACTTCTGTTGTATATAAGAAAAAGGCAGATTGAGAAAGGTTGGAGACCCCTGCTTTAGATGGGGGTTTAAACATGTGCTCAAATAGAATAGAATGGAATAAATTCTCGTTCGTTGAAAGTACTTCTGCAATGAGGTATTCAAACAAAAAATATATGTCAACAAATGTTATAATTAGGGTGCAGAGTTTTAAATGAAATGAAAAGCACTGCAGGGGGTTTGACTAATTAAAGCCATAGTTCTGAACAAAGTCTCATTGCAGTGGATTTCAGGCTCACAACATTTCTGTGCTCTATTGCATAGTCCTGTTCCTATTCGCGAGGTAACTGGATTTAAATGCCTTTAATAAATGGGCTTCTTTGAGCCATTTAAATGACAGACTCCCTCTGCTCGCTGCTCCAAGCCTGATAAAAAAAATCTCTGAAATTACCTGATGACTTCACACATTACCATTTCAATAGTCGAGCGCCCCCTGGTGGCGGTGTGGGACTGTGTTGTTGAATTGAAGGATACAGGTTTGGCTAAAGGGCTCGGCTTTGTCTTTTGTCTAGAAAGATAATTAATTCATACATTTTGGTCCCTGTGGCATTATCAAAAAGAGTCCCTGAGTGACTTTGTTGCAAAATACTTAGGCAATTTTATCCTATAAAAAAAAAATACTTTGCCATATTTTGATTTTATTATTATTTTGGTATCATTTTATTTATTTATTGTTTATACAATAAATACTCCGGATTGTAGCCATGGGCTAATTTGCATCCGTTGTCCCACATTCGCACTCACAAACACACACTCATTCACCCTGAACTATTGCATTATGTTTTTAGTGGTAGGGAAACTGGAGTACCCGGAGGAAACCTACGCAGACACGGGGAGAACATGCAAACTAATACAAATAATACATTCGTAAACTCTGCTCTAACAGTCCTAAACCCCTTTTGGGCCTCCAAGGTTTCTCTCCTGTAGCTAGTGCGGTTTATTTACAGGTGCGTCTAATAATCCGGCAAGTGCCATAAATTCCATGAGGGATTTATACATCCCGAGTGTGACACCTTCCTTTTGTGCCTCACTCCTTGCCCCCGGTTGAACTGTTCTTCTCGCTCTTACTTTTTGGGACAAATTTGCACTTCCAAAAGAGACCACATGTTCCTCTCCACATTGTAGCGTTTCACATGACTGCCCGCCATTAGCCGCTAAAGGCAAAACCAAGCACCTGTACAGGGACATCTGTCAGAACTCCTCAGGAAATCTACTCGTGCTTATTTTTGCCTGTGTGCATGGGCCTGAGCTCGTCTCTCTGTTCTGTGGTTCTGTAGTCTCTGTTATGGGTACTCTGGAGATTGTGCATTCACAGTGACTGCTGCTGGCTATAAGCTACTTCCTTAAAGAATCTCCTGGAAATTCAATTCTTAATTGGTTCTTGTTGAGAACGAAAAAAATATGTCAAAGAGTGCAAACAAAATTTACCTTGTTGATATGTTTTGGCTGCAGAGCAAAAGGACTTTAGAATTGGACATTACATACAAATTCATTTAACATGTAAAACTGATATAATCTTCGTAAGTTCAGATATGAGCCATATAATCGGATGCCTTTATGTGCCGGGTAAACCAGCTTGTCTTAGCAACCACCCTAGCAACCACCTAGCTCATGCCTGTCCCCTTAATTGTGCGAAGCTAACGCCACCTATTCAGTCAACTTCAGCTCTAAAATTATAGGAATGCTGTACATCCTTGTAACGCTCAGAAACTCCAAAATTAAATCACTTTATTTTTATAAAGTGATTTAAAGTGAGATAGTAATGTAGTAGATTCAGTTCTGTCAAATGTGAATCAATTATAGATACTTTATTGATCCCCCAAAGGAGAAATTTAGGTGTCCAGTAGCAGCAAAAATACATCCATCCACACAAACAAAAAGAGGCGGCACGGTGGCTGAGTGGATAGCACTCTCGCCTCTCAGCAAGAAGGTCCTGGGTTCGAATCCCGGTCGGACCAGGGCCTTTCTGAGTGGAGTTTGCATGTTCTCTCCGTGTCTGCGTAGGTTTCCTCCGGGTACTCCGGTTTCCCCTACCACTAAAAATATGTCCAATAGTTCTGGCATGTGCCTCCTGTACTGGCCCCGCTCCCATCTGTGTGGAGTGAGAGACAAATGCCCAAAATTAACAATTGTAAACCGCTTTGAGACTCAGATCTGCAGTGAAAAGGCGGTATATAAATAAAAACTTACTTACTTACTTACTTACTAGGTGGTGTAGCCTCTGGGTGGAGCAGGACAGGCCACGGGTTCAATTTAAAATGTCATTCTCAATTTAAACACAACCCAAATTCAGTCAGGATACTTTTGCCATCTGGGTTGCGGGTCCCTGGTGAACTAAAGTGGCCCTTGTACTGAAAGTTTCGACACACCTGGTCTTTGTTAAAGATAGTGGCCATGTGGCAGTAAAAACAGGATGGCCCAAACAGAATCACAATGACTCAAACATGAGAACTCGCTGCTCTCAGTGTGTTGACGAGAGGGGAAACAATTATGGCTCTTAAATGATTTGAGTAAGGTCCATACGTGGCAAATGCTCACTGAGTAAGCGTGCTTTTGGCTGCTTTTATCAACAACACAACAGCAAGGAAATACTGTGACTTTTTTCGCTAAAACCATGACTCAGTATTTTTTCGGAACCCCACAGAACCTCAGCGATTAGTGAAAGTCCCGGCCAACAAATCATCTCGCTCCTGAAGTCGTGTATGAATCAGGCCTCCGTCGTCCCCCATTCAAGCCTGCGGCTCCCTTCCCTCCGGAGCGATTGCCGTCACGACTGGAGTCCTTTTCTTCCGCCTGGCTGAGCAGTGCGGCGCTCGGTCGGGTGAGCAGCCGTGTGCCTTGCAGTCTGTTACTGCTCTGCTCAGCCTCACCCCCTCACCTCACGTCCCTCACCGCCACATTTACGGCGAGGTCGCACCACGGGACCGACCCGTCAAATTCGGCCCGCTTCAAACTAATGAGCCCTGACAGAATGCAACTCGCTACCTGCTGCGAACACGGGCCGCGCTCCCCTCGACCTGGATGTTGCCGTCGCACTCTTTATTCACTTAATGAGTTTTCAGAGCGTCCGCAGAACCTGGCAACCGCGCACACCCTCGAACCAGTCGGCAAAGGTCACATTAGAGGCTTTTGTGCTGTCAACTTGTCTTGTTGTGTTTTTAATGTATGTAACTTGAAGCTAGCTTCATGTAGTTTTAAAATCCTGTTTTTACTTTTGTCTTTTTAGTTGAAGAGTAAAAATGTCCGGTCAAGAAGTGGGATCAGATACACATTGATACTAAAACTAGTGCATAGACCAGGAATGAGCAAACTTGGACTATCAGTCTCTTGTCAGGGCTGGACACAAAATTTTTTTCTCAGAGTTATCTTCATGCACATATATATATATATCATTAAAATATAGATTTATTATAAAACAAATATGGAATCAGAATCAATGTATTGCCATTTGCAGAAAAAACTACATTGGAATACAAACAGGAAACACCGGGGGCACCAACACCACAAAGCACACATACAAAAAGAATAAAAATACATTGTATACATGTAAAATACAGCTGCAGAAGACCCCGCACTGACAGGGGAACAGGACTGAGGGTTACGGGAAGACCATGGTAGTCAACACAAGCGACAAAAGTTTTCTTATGGTTTTAGATAAAGGTGTCTCATGCTATACTAGCGGTTATATGATGTTGTTGGACTAAACACGGCACATGGGAAGTACGCTGTAAAAAAAAAAAAAAAAGTATGCAAAATTGCACATAAATTGCGAGGCCGTGAAAGAACCGCATTAAAGCGAGGAACAACTCTAAAGCAATTCATTGATAAATGTCATTCTGAGAGCATATGCAACATACATTTTCCCTTTTCAAGTGGGAGCTTTTAGGTGCGAAATGTCTGTAGTATTACATCTATTTGAATGGAGACAATGGAGAGACTACATTGTGTGATGTTCAATCAATCAATCAAAGTTTATTTGTAGAGCGCCTTTCATACACAGGGCAACACAAAGCGCTTCACAGTCCACATCACAAATCATCACATAAAACAAACACCAGAATCACAATTAAAACATTAAAATCACACAAAAGATTAAAACCATTAAACTTTCAACTTACAAATGTTCTGTTTTAGGCCGTGGCTTTGGCATCATGCCTTTGTGTGTGCTGTCTCAGAGCAGTCCGATGCCAGCTCATCTCACCCGGACCTCCATCTCTGCCATCTGCACCGGCTCCGACTGGACCAATGTTTTTGTCAAGGTACATGCAGGCTTTGAATTCAAAGTCAGGGATTCTCATTGGCTCGGCTTCTGGAAAGACCTCAAATTCCCTAATTTATCTAATCTTGCAGAAAAAGTGAGTTGGTTAGAGAAGGGAGGTGTATTTGTTCAGTTCGGATGCAGTGTCCTTTATAGAAATCCCAAGTGAACTCTGCAACACTGAGACTTCTCGTTTCAGATTCTCCTTATCTCAGCACCTCCAAATCCGAGGCCATGGTGCTCGACCGGAAAAAGGTGCCTTGCCCTCTTCAGGTGGGTGGAGAGGTCCTTCCTCAAGTGGAGGAGTTCAAGTATCTCGGGGTCTTGTTCACGAGTGAGGGAAGAATGGAGCGTGAGATTGACAGGCGGATCGGTGCAGTGTGCGCAGTGATGCGGTCTCTGTATCGGACCGTTGTGGTAAAGAGGGAGCTGAGCCGAAAGGCAAAGCTCTCGATTTACCGGTCAATCTTCGTTCCCTCCCTCACCTATGGTCATGAGCTTTGAGTAATGACCGAAAGAACGAGATCGCGGATACAAGCGGTCGAAATGAGCTTCCTCCGCAGAGTGGCTGGGCGCTCCCTTAGAGATAGGGTGAGGAGCTCAGTCACACGGGAGGAGCTCGGAGTAGAGCCGCTGCTTCTCCACGTCGAGAGGAACCAGTTGAGGTGGCTCGGGCATCTGTTCCGGATGCCTCCTGGACGCCTCCCTGGGGAGGTGTTCCGGGCACGTCCCACCGGGAGGAGGCCCCGCGGAAGACCTAGGACACGCTGGAGGGACTATGTCTCTCAGCTGGCCTGGGAACGCCTTGGGGTCCCCCCGGACGAGCTGGAGGAAGTGTGTGTGGATAGGGAAGTCTGGGCGTCTCTGCTTAGACTGCTGCCCCCGCGACCCGGCAACGGATAAAGCGGAAGAAAATGGATGGATGGATGGATGGATGGATTCTCCTTATGTCTGTGGTCTGTGTCACGAATAAAAATTTCATGAGACAAAAAAACTACAGTGAAATATAAACTTCAGTTCAGTCAAATGCAAATCAATATGAAAATGTCTCGCATGCAGTCAGAATAGTTTAGCAATTCATTGGTTACATCTCAAGGTGCTACAGCAAGTTCAAAACATAATCAAAACATCAGATTAAAACCACATACAATTTAGGGCTGGGCAATAAATCGGATTCAGGCAATTCATCGGCTTTTGAAAAAATCAAAACAAAAATGGTGAAAAATGTGAAAATCGTGAAATCGAATGAAGGATATTGTGAGAGTTCCAGCAGCATGTGAATTATAATACAGTATCAGCACAGTCTGTACAAGACTTGTATAATACGTTAATGAAAATCCATTTCAAATCAAAATCGTCCAAAGCAGGAAATAAAATTGAGATTTTACTTTTTTTCCATATTGCCCCGCCCAATACAAATAAAAATGCATTAAATCATGTGGTCCCTTATCAATTGCGGTTGTCGGCCCCTTAGAAGTCAGGTGAACTAAAATGGCCCTGTACTGTGGTCTATGTCACAAATTCAAAACTTCATGAGACCAAAAACTCCTGTGGTCTATGGCCAACTAGCCTGGATTTATTTCAAATTGTTCCATTTAAGTTTGTTTCCTTTTCCAGTGTTAATACCCAGCCCTTACCTACAAATCAAAACGATTATGACAATATAATATTGATTTTGACACCAGCTGGATTCCATTGATTCTCACAGTCTTAAACCACGCCGCCATCTCCCCTCTTTGCTCGTCCACTTTTGAATCCTGTGTGGATACAAAAACAAGAACTGCGAATTCCTTTTCTGAACTCCAGCGAAGTATGGGCCTAATCCCCCTCCCGTCTCTTGCCGCGTCTCCCAAAGGCGCTCATCAACACCGCTCTGTTTCCCGCTCGACTTTGATCAGCTGACGTTGAGCTAAAACATGAACAACAGTCCGTTCACCGCCGCTTTGCTCTTGTTTTGCCTCTGCAGGGGAGAGTGCTGCACAAAGATGCTCTGCTGCCGCTCGACGACGACGACTTCATACTAAAGGCTGTCATTCAAGGTAATGGAGCCGTGCGCCTGGCTTTGAGTAGCGCACGGAGCAGATGATTAACATAACATTATACATGGGCTTAAAAAAAAAAAAAAGTTGGAATAAAAGGAGGGGGAACGTTTTGTTGGCCATTTTGCTAGGTTACCAAGGCTTCGATGGTAATGACAAATTCAAACACTTTTTTCACGCACACACGCAGGCACGCACGCACGCACGCAGGTTACAAAACTAAACTGAAAGGTGTTTTTATAAAAAAATTAAATTCTTACATGACTTTGTTTCACCTGTGCGTTAACTGCCCGACAAGTTTGACTGCATTGAACATTTTGGCCCTTAATACATGTATTAAATATATTATCTTAAATAATTGATCTGAAGTGATGTGAGAGGGTGGCGCAGTGGTGCTTCACAACAAGAAGATCCTGGGTTTAATTCCACCTCCGGACAGGGCCTTTCTGTGTCGTGTGTCTGCCGTAGCATTTTCACACGTTTTCTGAACTAGTCACATAAACATAGCATGAATGAGGAATGTGTGCTCCGTCTAAGGGGTGTCATGGTTACCAGTGGAGGCGTGTCGGCTCCACAAAACGCATTGACGGTAGCGTTAATGGTTTAAATTGAAAGAGACTGTGTTAACTTGGTGGGTATACCGTGCCCTTGTCCAGCTTCTTACCAGACGGCTGAAGTTGTTATAGGTAAAACTCTCACCACTTAATACACAAGACATAAGTCATGGAATCACCGGCTCACCGGGTGGTAGCAGTCAGAGCTGCACCTAGTACACAGAGCACCAGCCCCTCACTGATCTTCCTGCAGGTGCTGAGTCCACAGGAGCTGAGATCTTTCAGCGGGGGCTTCGGCCAAGGTGGGATTAAGTGTCTTGCCCAAATACACAACGACAGCAGACATCAGTGGGAGTCGGTGGAGACGGTGTCGAGGTGGGAAAACGAACCCACGACCAATGCTCTACCAACTGAGCTACTGTCGCCCCATATATGACAGCAATAATTATAGTAATAAATCGGACTTATATAGCGCTCTAAAAGGCGCTTTTTACAAAGAGACAGGTTAATAAAAAATGAAAATAAAAATCTATAATATCTGAACAAGCTGGTCAGGAGGGCCAGCTCCACTCTGGGCTGCCCCCTGGACTCTGTGGAGGAGGTGAGGGACAGGAGGGTGCTAGTCATAGTCACCTCCATCATGAACAACACCTCCCACTGCACAGGACTGTAGAGGAGCTGAGGAGCTCCTTCAGTGGAAGACTGAGACACCCTTAGTGCAAGGAGCGCTACCGCAGGGCCTTTATCCTCACTGCTGTCAGACTGTACAATAAGTCACTTGCATTAGGACTGGAAAACCTGCACTACTATTGACACTGTTTCTTGATTGCCACTTTTGTACATAATATATCTTGCATTCATCTTGTTGCACATTTCTTTCTTTTGCACAATCTTGAGTGTTTCTATCAATGCCAGAAGTGTTGTGTACATTTCTCTTGTGTGAGATCAATAAAGTCTATCTTATCTTATCTTAATAAACAGTGCGGCTAAGGGTATAGGCAGTTTTGAACAGGTGGGTTTTGAGAGTGAGGGGAGCTGCAGCAAAGGCTCGGCCCCCCCATGGTTTGGCACTTTGTTCCGATGGAAGTGAGGAAGTCGGAGTTGGCAAAAAGGCATAGGATATAAAAACAGATAAAGAGATGCTTAACGGTATAATGCGCTTGGGTAGAACCAAAACAGCTGGAGTGTTTTGAACTCATTTCACTCTTAATATGTCCCTGATGAAAACGTCCCATAAACAAAGCTGATGTATATTGTTTGTGTTTCAGATGTAGAGTCCTCTCCTTACGCTGCTCAGGATGTGTCCATTCAGATGCTCCTGATGGGTTCACTGGCCAAGGACTTTTCTACAACTGTCAAATTAGGAGTGAGTATTTGTTTAATTTCATGGTAATTCAACAAAATATCACAATAATCCAGCGAATACAACAGTAATACATTCCATAAAAATAAGAACAGGAGGATGAAGAAAAAAAACCCTCCTACTCTATTCTTATATAAAGACATTTACTGTACATGGTCTAAACGGCACTAAAAATGTAAAAATAGCTCAAACCTAATGATTTCAACGTTCCATTCATTATGAAAACCATTATTAATTATAATTATTATTCTCGTTCCACCACTAATATTAATAACTTCAATAACAATAATATTCGATGCAACAGTGATGCAAAGATGACAACAGCGCGATGGAAACAACAGCAAGGCCAACAAACTGCACACCCACATACATACAGGCGTACGTACAGGTGCACAAAGGCACACCCACATACATACAGGCGTACGTACAGGTGCACAAAGGCACACCCACATACATACAGGCGTACGTACAGGTGCACAAAGGCACACCCACATACATACAGGCGTACGTACAGGTGCACAAAGGCACACCCACATACATACAGGCGTACGTACAGGCGCACAAAGGCGCACCCACATACATACAGGTGTACGTACAGGTGCACAAAGGCACACCCACATACATACAGGCGTACGTACAGGCGCACAAAGGGACACCCACATACATACAGGCGTACGTACAGGCGCACAAAGGGACACCCGGATATACACCCACATACATACAGGCGTACGTACAGGTGCACAAAGGCACACCCACATACATACAGGCGTACGTACAGGCGCACAAAGGCACACCCACATACATACAGGCGTACGTACAGGTGCACAAAGGCACACCCACATACATACAGGCGTACGTACAGGTGTACAAAGGCACACCCACATACATACAGGCGTACGTACAGGCGCACAAAGGGACACCCACATACATACAGGCGTACGTACAGGCGCACAAAGGGACACCCGGATATACACCCACATACATACAGGCGTACGTACAGGTGCACAAAGGCACACCCACATACATACAGGCGTACGTACAGGCGCACAAAGGCACACCCACATACATACAGGCGTACGTACAGGTGCACAAAGGCACACCCACATACATACAGGCGTACGTACAGGTGTACAAAGGCACACCCACATACATACAGGCGTACGTACAGGCGCACAAAGGGACACCCACATACATACAGGCGTACGTACAGGCGCACAAAGGGACACCCGGATATACATACAGGCGCACAAAGGCACACCCACATATACATACAGGCGCACAAAGGCACACCCACATATACATACAGGCGCACAAAGGCACACCCGCATATACATACAGGCGCACAAAGGCACACCCGCATATACATACAGGCGCACAAAGGCACACCCGCATATACATACAGGCGCACAAAGGCACACCCGCATATACATACAGGCGCACAAAGGCACACCCGCATATACATACAGGCGCACAAAGGCACACCCGCATATACATACAGGCGTACGTACAGGCGCACAAAGACACACCCGCATATACATACAGGCGTACCTACAGGCGCACAAAGGCACACCCACATATACATACAGGCGTTTGTACAGGCTCACATAGACACACCGACTGCTCACACAAGAGGAGAGAAGGAGGATGAATAGAAATGAGGCTTATGCAGTGTGTTGAATTAAAATCAATATTGATTTAAGACAGATTAATATAGAAATCCTGTTACTATTTTTCTAACCTGCAGTGAAAGCCACGCCTCCTGGAGTGATACAGTCATTTTAAATGCATCGGTTTTATTTTCTGCTTTTCTGGACACTCAAAGGCACTTCACCTGGCCGTTTTCATTCACTCCATACACAGTGGTGGTGAACTACTACTACTGCTACTGTAGCCACATCTGCCCGGGACAGACAAAGAGAAGCGAGGCTACCTAACGGTTCACATACACACTGGACTCATACTCTGCTATGTGGGTGAACATCATTGTGGCACTTTACAAACGCAGCCGCCCCACTGTGGCACCTTGTATTTTCAGAGGTTTCCCAATCCGTCTATTCAATTGTAGGTGATGCGTTTACAGAAAACTTTATGGTTGCAATGAATTAAACATTCTGTGAACTCTCGCCTCAAATGCAGAACAATGCATGAAAGTTTACTCCTTTTAAACTTAAAAAATTCAAACTGCTGACATCTCGTATGACGACTGTGTGAACGCGCGGTGAAGGCTGTTAATGTCATTCTCACTTCTACAACTGTAAGCACTGTTTTGACAGGCTGTCAACACGTGTAGAGGAGAAGTCCCTTACTTAAAGTGAAGTTTTCTGTGGCAGTGTTTTAAATGTAAAGTGGTCTCTTGCTATGAGACGGTTCACCTGTCACGGCCTGGCTGTTTTTCACATTTGTTTGTGTCCAATTGTGCGTGTCTTTGCACCGTGCGCTTCTCATGTGCCGTGTGTGTACCCCAACAACATCATATACAACATCATATAACGGCTGGTATAACATGACAGTTATATTTACCTGAAGTCATAAGAAAACCTTAGCAGTAGTGTGCACCGCAGTGAGTAGTTCAGAGGTCTACTGCAGTCTTTCTCTGTATCCCTCAGTCCTGCTCCTGCCATTCTGTGCCCTATGGAGCTTTATTTTACAGTGTACGCACAACTTTTTACAGCTGTAGCAGCGCTCAGACCTACAACGAACAAGTTTGATTTCTCCAACTTTGCACTTCAGCAGTCGTGAGTTCCGGTGGTTAGAAAAGTGTATAGAGATGTTTAGAAATGGGTTTTTATTATGCCTTATTCTGCCTTATTCTTTTGACTTGTTTGCACTGAGAGCCAAAGCAATTTCCTCGTCTGTGACTTCCTGTTACTTACATGGCAATAAAAATGATTCTGATTCTATACATTTTGTTTGAGGGGATTTACAGCCTTAAAACATAGAGCTGCTTCTACAATGATTTGGCTTGTTGCAGGTATTTTTTAAAACGTAGCCGGGCGTTTAACGTACAGTACACAATATGTCTGTCAAATCATCTATAGAAAAAAGTCCTGGTATTGAAACTGATGGTTTCTGCGACCACTCTTTCCTCCTGATTCAATATCAAACCAGTGTAATTAAACCTATCGAGGGTGTGATCAGTTGCGAAGGCTCAGTGGCAGTTCCTCCACTCTTTGAAGGGCAGAGGAAGCTTATTATACCAGTCGCGAGAAGAGGGAACCATTTAATTTGGCCCCATGTTGCTTGTACAAACTGGCAGACACGTAAGTACACAGCCGCTGCGTGTGTGGCGTTTGCTTACACGTCTCGGTACAGGGATAATCCAGCTGTCAGCGTGTTCCGTGGTGTTCTTAAGGCAAAAAGCACGCTCACCGCGGTCTGTCAGGTGCGCACGTCTCTCGAATGATCCTCCCGCGGTTTTGTACGTCCTGAGACCAGGCGTTTAAGACGACAGGTCGGACAAAAAGACGGCGTTTCTTTTTAACTTTTTAAGTGGCAGGTTTTACTAAAAGCTCTCCGAGATTTGTTCCCAACATCGTGCCAACTCCACCCACCGACAAACACCGAGGACATTTTATGCGTAGTGTCATGCGTAGCGTCATAGGGCGTGGAAAAGGTGAGTTACTTTGGCTATTTTAGGGGTACTGCAAAAGTTATACTGTAGTCACTTGTTTATCGCAGGGATTTTGTGCTAAAAATAAGATGCTATATGCGAAATCCGCAAAGTAGCAGTTATACATTTTAAACTGTAAAACCGCCCTCACCACACAAACTTTATACCCTTTTCTAACCTCCTGAACTCACAACTTCTGAAGTGCGAACACGGCGATAGCAAATCGGTTCGTTGTAGGTCTGAGCGCTGCTGCAGCTGTCAAAAGCCGTGCGTAAACTGTAAAATACAGCTGCAGATTACTATCAACCTGCGGATTATATTCAAATAGTATCTACAGTGCAGACCAAAAGTTTGGACACACCTTCTCATTCAAAGAGCTTTTTATTTTCATGATTATGAAAATTGTAGATTCACACTGAAGGCATCAAAACTATGAATTAACTCATGTGGAATTATGTACGTACTAAAAAACAACTCATGATTCTGGTTCTTCAAAGTAGCACCTTTTGCTACGATTACTGCTTCACTCTCTCTTGGATCTGAAATGGTCTTCAACAGTCTTGAAGGAATTCCCAAAGTTGCTTAGCACTTTTTGGCCCCTTCGCCTTCACTCTGTGGTCCAGCTCACCACAAAACCATCTGGACTGGGTTCAGGTCCGGTGACTGAGGAGGTCATCTGGCTCAGCACCATCACTCTCCCTATTGGTCAAACAGCCCTTACACAGACTGTGTGTGTGGTGTGGATCTACAGTCTATAGTCATGAAAAGAAAGAACATTGAATGAGAAAGTGTGTCCAAACTTTTGGTCTGTACTGTACATGTTGACTTAACATTCTTTCTCTTAAAATGTAGCCTGTTCGGTTTTTATACAGGTGTGCTTAATGGTCCAGCAGGTGTTGTAATATTCTAGAGTTTTACGCTATTGTTAGAAAGTGCGTTTTGATTTAATGGTTGTTTGATAAAAGCGAGTTATAAATGCAGCCCTTGCTGATGTACAATTGGCTTATCCTCCTCAGTCACTTCTGTCCCTGTGGCATCCTACACAAAAGTGGTTTTCCTGATTCTAATACCCTTATACTATCTGTTATCGCCTTCTGTTAAATACTAATTGGACTGGCTGAACTAAAAGACCCACTCCTCACTGCGGCTGATCTGTCTCCACATCTATTTTTTTACCCAGGATGCATCTGGGGCTGCCCTGGCTCGGTCCTCTTTCAAAATGAGAGGCTTTTACTTATCTCTGTGTGCTTGCCTTTAATCCCTGGTTCTTCCCGGTCTTTATCTTGTGTTTTGTGCAGGACGTGGTCGGGGCTTCTGGCTTCACTGTCTCCAAGTCTTCCACAGTCAAAAAGAACCGGCATCCATGCACGCTGCTGCTGTCCGGGGAGAGTGCCTGCATCTATGTGAGCTTAAAAACTTTCTGAAATGATATAGTCCCAAGAGCCATCGTTTGTGACAGAACCTCTTTGTTTCAGGTGGGTTCTCCTGAAGCTAATCCTGAAGTGACGAGAATGTCTCCTAAAGCATCTACAGCGGTAATCAGTGTTTGACAGTTACAGCATTTAATATTCTTTTTACACAGACTATGATTGGTGAGTATCGAGAAAAAAAACCTAAAAGTTTGATGCATTGGTTTTGCATACCTCTTTCCCGGACATTCAAAGACACAGGATCTGTACATGTCATTATTAATTCCTTTCATACACTGTAGTGATAAACCATTACAGTAGCCACAGCTGCCCTGGAGCAGACCGAGAGACAAACAGTTTGTGCCATCAGCCCCTCTGACCACCACGTACCATTCACACACTCAACAGACTCATTCCAGGCAATGTTGGTGAAGTGTGTTCCTAAAGGACACAGCAGCAGTTAGGCACTTTACAGTGCCCCACTGTGGCACCTGGTGTTCCCAGATGTCTCCCATCACAGTACTTACCTAGTTCTGCCCCGCTTGGCTTCAGAGGTCTCATAGAGGTTTCACATGCAGGTGGCGCCACAAAAATACTTTGTTTTACTACAAAAGCTATAATTGAAATTAGATATTGATTTCAGAAAGTGGCATTTGTGAAATAAATTACAAACAGATCAATGTGTTACCACTGTGGTAATCTTTACCACTGTGGTTTTGTTAAATTGCAGCTGTTTATGTCAGGGGTGTCCAAACCTTTTAGTAAGAGGGCCACTCTAGTTCACCAGACTTGTTAAAGGACAACTCACCCTCAAATCCACTTTTTTTTGCTGATAAACGGTATAAATGAGTGTCCAATAGTGTTGTCTACATATCCTGGTCATAATTTTGTCACTTTGGTGCAAATTAGTTGAAAGTTAAACTTTCTGCCTAAAACCGTCTGTGAGGCGCCATCTGCTGGCGACCTGTATTACTACGATTGAATTTTGAATCTGGCGCCAACACTGGCGCGGCAACAAGACCTGACGTCTGAAGCAAGACCTGACGTCAGCAGCCCCCCGCCCAGAGCAATGTAAACGGCCCAGTCTCGTTCACGCCCCCTTTAGTCCTCCAGGCTACGCCCATTTAGAGGAAGATTTGAACAGGAAATGTGAGTGACGTAAGCTCCGAGGAGCGGGGATGAGAACCTCTTTAAATACAAGTTACACTGGGTAACAAAAAAATATTTTTATAAAATAGTCCAGGGTTTTCCAGCTGAATTAGACTAATTTTGATGCTCTGAGTCCGAAAATGACCTTGGTTTTGCTCAATCAGGTCAGGATTTTTTGCTACAGAAATATTTTTTTTAATCAATTTTGCGTAAAAAACTAATTTCTGCGGATCGTCAGCTGAGAAACCCTTGACGTTTTTTCCGTTTTCCTCAAGAAATAAAAGTCAACGTATCCAAAGTCATTCAGTTTTTATTTACTCCATCAAATTTGATAAGCAGAATTCATAATAACGTAGACGTACGTAATCCGTAACACTATGGCTGTATGTTTGTGTAAGCCCTCAGTCGTACAGGGATTAGTCAAAGCAAAGGAAGGTTTCTCACCCATCATCTGTACTTCTTAGCAAGTTTTTTGGGACAAGGTCAGTCACATGCTAATGAGTTAGGGTCGTTAGCCTCAGCAGGGTCGTTAGACCTGCTCCCTTCTACATCAAACAGACCTTAGATTGTTTATGAGTTGGTATCAGGATTAGGGTGTGGCTAACCACACCCATAGGTTATAAATCTCCAACGCGCGGTCTGAGAATTCATTCCCTGAAGAAGTCCTTAGGATTGAGGACGAAACGTCGGGAAAACTTGCTAAGAAGTACAGATGATGGGTGAGAAACCTTCCTTTACTATGGCTGTATCTCAAAAAGTTGACCTGATAGAGCAAAATGCATGTGATATTCGGACTCAAAGATATAACACATAATGTGGGCACAAAATAAATCAATTCCGAAATAGTTTTTTACCTTTGGGCTTGTGCTGTACAAATAAATCAGCTCTACTCCCAGCTTGCAATACATCATTCTCTCTGGAACAGTCCAAAGGAAAATTATATCCACTTGTATTACCCAAAGTAAAATCCATTCTGCAGAAATAATCCAAAAATGTGCATTTATCTTTAGCGAAAAAAACAAAAAAAAAGAGCACAGATGTTATTCTTTCACTTTTAACGGACTTTTAGCTTTGTTTTTCACCCAAACATCTGGTATCTACGTGTTCCTTAGCTCCTTATCTTTCAAATGAGACTACTCCCGAAAAGCTAGACACATTTTTGGGTCTGCAAGAGCTCCCGTGAGTACAGCTAGCGCTGCTGTTTGAGCATGGATCACTGATCTTTGTTGTGTTCCCTACTTGTTTGCTTCTATTTCCGGGATTTTTGATTGACATGTCCGTGTAGCCAATGAGGAAAGCTTTTGAGCAAGGGGTGGGACAATGGTGTCCTGTCTTATGTTGTGCCTGTAGAATTGTGCGTAATGGCAGCCAAAAGACGCTCTTGAAGCTGCAATGAATTTACACTCATAAAAAAATAACTTTGGCATTTAAAAAAAAAAAAACACATAGATTAGTAACTTATAAGTACCAATAATAAAAAAATATTGTTTTTATGATGATTAAATGTCAGCAAAGATATTTGCAAATGTGCACTACTTGATGAAAAGGAGAAACTGCATAAAAACTATACAACTTAGAAGTCTGAAACTTTAGACAGTTGTTGTCAACAACACAATGACCACAGGGTTTGAATAGTGTGAACTTACAATGAAGTATGCCTTTTTTAGGGCCTTTAGAAATTGAATTGCTAAAAAAATTGGATATTTTTCCCAAACTTCAAAGGATGCAGAGGGAAATGGGAATGACAAACATTATTTTAGTGTTTTTTTACATAAACTAGAAGGCTCTAGCTTTAAAATGATGCATCACACAAGCATGTGAGATGTAAGATGTGTTTTTAAATAAGCAAAGACATTTGGGTATGCCCAACTTTTGTGCACAAGCCAAAATGAGGCGGGTGTTAAGAGGTTAAAATGACTGAGGGCGGCTAGTGGCACCTGGGGCTTAGTTTGTACATGCCTGGTTTATGTGAACAGCAGGGCTGTTGTCAGAACAGTGTCTATGGATTTATTCCTTTGACTAAATCTAGGATTTAGCAGCTATAGCACGAACCTTTGTCACAATCAATCAATCAATCAATCAACGTTTATTTGTAGAGCGCCTTTCCTACACAAGGCAACGCAAAGCGCTTCACATCCCCTATCACATCATGCATAAATCAAACACATTAAGAGCACAAGATATATTAAAAACATTAAAAATAAAATCACAAAAATTAAAAACCTTTAAACATTAAAATCACAGATGGGACTAAAATCATAAATAGTCACAGTGCATTAAAAAGATTAAAGATAAAAACAAAGATGAAAAGATAAAATCATTCAGTTGTATATGCGCAGCTAAACAGAATTGTTTTGAGCCTAGATTTAAAAGATGCCAGAGTAGACGCCTGTCTCACATTCTCAGGAAGACGGTTCCAGACTCTAGCCGCATGAATCTGAAATGCAGTTTGCCCATGTCTAGTACCGACTCTGGGCACTAACAGGAGTCCAGTCCCTGTGCTCCTCAGAGTCCGGGTCGGTTCATATGGCACAAACATGTCATGGATGTACCTTGGCGCGAGACCATGGAGAGACTTGTACACAAGTAAAGCTGCTTTGAAGTCTATTCTCTGAGGAACAGGAAGCCAGTGCAGAGACCTGAGAACTGGACTAATGTGGTCGTACTTCCTAGTTCTGGTCAGGACTCGAGCTGCTGCATGTTGAATGTACTGCAGCTGTTTTACAGCCTGTTTGGACAGACCTGTGAGCAGGCCATTGCAATAGTCTAACCGACTGGAGACAAAAGCGTGTATAAGAGTCTCCAAGTCTGCCTTAGACACTATGTTTTTAATTTTAGCAATGTTTTTTAGGTGGTAATAAGCTGCTGATGTTACAGATTTTATGTGGCTTTTGAAATTTAAGTCTGAGTCCATTATTTAGTCTGGGACTGATAGGGAAAAAATGGCGGAGCTGGTAGCTGGTGGTGACGGCGGCGGTGCTCGCCGATGCGAAAAACCAGAAATCTACAAAACTTCCAGCGGCAAAGTGATCGTAGAGGATGAATTGTTACATTTTCTATCCGTCAAGATGCGTACCTTGGCGCAAGACGAAATTATTATGCTGGCTACAAGAAATTTCTCAACTGAGTGGATTGAAGACTCCAAAAGAATCCTCTTTGAAGTCTGCCTGAGTACATCTCTGCGTAATATTGCGCACAAAGGGGCCCAAAAAGACTTGAACAATATAAAAATATGTCTGAAAGTGCTAAATGAAGCTGGGGAAAATATTCCCCGTTTTGTCTCTCACTACCTGGAGGACCTGCCACCTGTGGGATTTGGCAGCATCGATGCCTCTGCGCTGCTTGCCAGACTGGAGCAACTTAACCGGGAGGTCACCGACATGAAGATAGCGTGCAAGGAGCAGGCTCACGTTAATGAAAACATGCGTAAGTCTACAGAAAGCATCATGGAGCGAGTGTCCGCGATTGAGGGAGCACAACGCCCCACTGTCTTTGGGCACGAGGATTACGCACCGCGCACAGCTGGGATCATGCCTGGAAGCACTGTGCTCTTGGAAACGCGTGAGGATCGTACCGATGAAAACCATGAAACCGGTATGTCTGCTGAAACCCTGGCCTCGACAACGAGTCAGTGGTCTACTGTTGTCAAAGAGGGTCGGCGTGTGAAGCAGGTTCCCGTTGCTGGTAGACACGGCCCCGGGAAAGAGCGTAAGAAAGTGGGCATAACTGGGACAGGTGCTAGCACCATCAGGACTGTAACTTCTAAACTGGTGAGTGTATTTGCCACACGCTTTGACCCTGCAGTAGAAGCCGATACACTGTGTGCTTATCTGTCAGATAAACTTGACAACACAACAGTACAGTGTAGAAAGATCAGCTCTGTTCAGAATCGCTACAGCTCGTTTCATGTCACCGCTGAGTGCAATGACGTTTCGTGCATGTACGCTCCTGAACTTTGGCCAGCTGGTACATATGTGCGTCGGTACTACGAAGCGCGCAGGGCTGGAGGAATGCATGTTGGTAGTGCCGGACCTGTAGCGGGTTCGGGAGCCGCAGGTGCGGGAGCCGCAGGTGCGGGAGCCGCAGGTGCGGGTATCTCCGAATAAACTGTATCATGCCCTTTACAATTGTGTCTTATAATGCGCGCGGGCTGCGCGTTGGACACAGTAAAGCAGACTCTGCACGTCGGGCTGTAGTGGACTCACTTCTGCAAACCTGTGATATCTTATGTATTCAAGAGACTTTCTTAGCCAAGCAGGATCTGGATAAACTTAACGCTGTGCATGTGGACTTCCATGGGGCAGGGGAATCCACTACAGATCTGAGCACTAAGCTACTTAAAGGCAGAATTTCAGGCGGAGTTGCTGTACTTTGGCACAAGAAATATGATTCTGAGGTTACTGTGCTCAGGTTGGGAGTTGACTGGGCCATTGGGCTTCAGGTTCAGTGTAGTCGTGGGAAGTTTCTCATTCTGAATATATATACTCCTTATGAGTGTGCTAATAATGAGGATGAATATCTAAATTGTCTGGCTGGGATTATGGCATTTATTCAAGACCTTAACTGCACCTGTATATTTGTAGTTGGGGACATGAATGCTGATGTTTTGGATGAGAAATCTCTATTTGCCAATCATTTAAAGCAATTTTGTGTTGAGAACCGCCTAGTTCTTTCCAGTATGGCTCTTCTCCCAAGCGATAGCTTCTCATATGTTAGTGACGCCTGGCACTCAACATCCTGGCTTGACCATTGTATATGCACCAGTGATGCTCATGCAGTTATTGATAGCATGCAGATCAGATATGATTTGGCTACATCTGACCACATGCCACTTGTTATTAAATGTAACCTGGGTAGTGTTCCCTTGATTACTTCTTTAGGGCCGTCTGTATATTACGAGAGAGTGGACTGGTCTAAGCTTACTTGTGAGGACATCTGTGCATATACTCGGAGAACACATTTTAATCTTGGACATATTGATCTGCCGAGGGATGCTATTTTATGCCGTGATATGAACTGTACAAATCATGAACATTCTACCCAACTGGATTTGTTTTATTGTAAAACTCTGGAAGCCCTTATAAGTTCTGGGAAACCCTGTCAAAACAAGATACGCTCCCCCTGTGGAAAGCCCGGTTGGAATAGGCACGTAGGTGAGGCTCATGCTGAGGCCCGTGCTGCATTCAAAGCTTGGGTGGATGCAGGGAGATGCAGGAGTGGACCTCTGTTTGAAAACAAGAAATATGCAAATGCAAGATACAAATACAGTCTGAGGTACATAAAAAAGAATGAACAGCGTCTTAGGGCTGAATCTCTGGCATCTAAGCTCCAAGACAACACCTGCAGTGACTTTTGGAAGGAGATAAGAATGATGAGTAACAGCAACACCTCCCTCCCTTCGGTTGTGGATGGAGTGAGTGGCTCACAAAATATTTGTCAATTATGGAAAGAATTTTACTTTGATCTCTTTAATTGTATTAAGGGAAAAGCTCCCATTGTAGGTTCTATTTTAAACAATGCAGGTTCAATAGTAACGCCACAAGAGGTTTTTAATGTTGTCCACAAACTCAAAAGTAAAAAGTCATGTGGCTCAGATAATATCACATCTGAACACCTCAAATTTGCAAGTAGGAATATGTACCCTCTGCTGGCCCTGTGTTTCACTGGATTCATGGTTCATGGTAGTCTGCCTGAATCTCTTCTGTCAGTTCTGCTGGTCCCTGTTATTAAAGACAAAGCAGGAAAACTGACTAGCTCAGCTAACTATCGTCCTATAGCTTTGGCTAGCATCGTTTCCAAAGTTCTTGAGACTGTGATTTTAAATAGACTTGAACCTTTTTTAAGTACAACTTTTAACCAGTTTGGTTTTAAATCTGGCCATGGTACAGACACTTGTATTTTTGTACTGAAGGAACTTTTAGATAAATATCATTGTCAGGGCTCTACAATGTTTGTGTGTTTTCTAGATGCCTCCAAGGCTTTTGACAGAATTGATCATGAGAAATTGTTTTTGAAACTGTCAAAGCGTGGAGTTCCTGGGTATCTGATCAGACTGCTTATTTTTTGGTATTCGGAGCAGACCATGCAGGTGAAATGGGGGGAGGCTCTTTCTGACTCCTTCAGAGTCTCTAATGGGGTTCGTCAGGGAGGGATTCTCTCTCCCATGTTGTTTAATGTGTACATGGATGACCTGTCGGTGCAACTGAACACCTGTACCACAGGATGCAGTGTTGGTTACAGCAGATATAATCACCTCATGTACGCAGACGATCTGGTGGTGTTCAGTCCCTGCAGTGCTGGTCTTCAGCAACTACTTAATGTGTGCTCTCAATATGGTTTGGATCATAATATCAAATATAACGCTGCAAAAAGCCTGGTAATGATTGCGCGTACTAAAGATGACAGTAAATTATGTTTTCCTGATTTTTTCCTTTCCGGAAACCTTTTGGAATCTGCAGATGAGGTGAAATACCTCGGTCACTACATCACCAGTGACCTTTCTGATGACAAGGACATGCACAGGCAGCTGTGTCAGTTATATGGCCAATCAAATATGCTGCTACGTAAGTTTAGTATGTGCTCTCCTGAGGTAAAGGTAACTCTTTTTAAATCTTACTGCTCACCTATGTACACTGCTTACCTTTGGAAGAGTTTTAAAAAGTCCAGTTTGCAGAAACTCACTGTGGCCTATAACAACTCCTTGAGGCTGCTGCTGAAGGTTCCTCGGCACAGCAGCGCAAGTGAGATGTTTGCTTACTGTGGTGTTCGATCTTGTTCTGCATCTCTTCGAAATGTTCAGTTCAGATTTATGTGTCGTCTGAGGAACTCTATTAATGGGATTGTTAAGACTCTCGTCAGCCCCGAGTTCTGCTCACTGCTGTTCACCTCCAAATTATGGACTTACTGGAGGTTATGCCTTTATACTGTTCAGCAGCTGTAATGTTCTCTTTTTGTTTTGTTTTCTTGTATATATTTTTTCTTTGGTTTTTTAACTATGGACCGTGTTGTATTGTGTCCTTAATAAAGATTAATAAATAATAATAATAATATCACTCCTAGATTTCTGACCTGATTTGAGGGTTGTAGAGAGAGAGCCTGGAGGTGACAAATAACGCTCTCTCTTTGTTTCTGGGCTCCGAAAACAATTATTTCAGTTTTGTCGGTGTTTAGTTGGAGAAAGTTATTTTGCATCCAATCACCGATTTGCTGGACACAGTGAAGGAGCGAGTCCACTGGTTCATGCTCTCCTGCTGTCAGGGACACATAGACCTGAGTATCGTCAGCGTAATTGTGATAAGAGACATTATTACTGTGAATCAACTGACCTAGAGGCAACATGTAAATATTAAACAGAAGAGGACCCAGGATTGACCCCTGTGGCACTCCGCAGGTCAGGGCCAAGTGGTCTGAGGTACAGTTTTCGATCTCCACAAAAAACTTTCTTTGTGGAGATCAATACAATAGCTGATTGTAAATTCATTCGTTCATTTTATTTTCATTTTGTACATGACGAGTTACAAAACGTAACCAAAACAAGATACTCAAAAAGAAATGTATATATAAATACATAACAAAAGCCCCAAAAGATATAAATAATAATGTTCAATTGATCATAGATAAGAAGTAAAAAATAATGACATCATTACCATATGGTAATAATTAAATCAAAAGGGTCCTGACTTGGAAGCTGACAGTTGTCAAACGATTACAATTTTTAATTGAGTTAATTAAAGCTTAGAAATAAATGAGTTCAAAATGTGTTAATTTTTTTTACGCGAATTATTAAAAATAAATAAATTGATGAACGTGCGTTAACGCGATAATTGTGAAAACCCTAGTTATTATTCAAATCTTTCACGAGTCAAAATAATCAGTTGAAACAGTCGGCTTGTTTTTCTCCATTAGTCGGTAGTTAAATGATTACAACATAAAAACCTTATATTGAAATGCGGCTTATATGTCGACAAAATGTACTTTCTTCTCAAATGTAGCGGTTTTAATTCAGGTGAGCTTTGTAGTCTTGCTTGTAATTTTCAGCATCGTAACAACACTAATACAGACACGGAAGATTAGTGTGTGAATTCAATATAATGAATGAGGATTTGACTAAACACTTTTTATGTGTCACAGACGGATCATCCGGAGTCAGAAGTGGAATCTGTGGTGACCAGAAAAAGAGCCCCACGGAGCACACAGGTCAGATCCTGGGGCTTTTTTCTCAGTTAAATCTTTTCAATACAAGTACAGTATTTATTTATTCATGTATTTATTTTATTCTGATCAAATATTTATTGTGTTGTGCTGCATGCCTAAGTGACAACTGTTATAAAACGGGGAACACATGCTCAATCATTTCAAGTTTTTTCTCCCCTCCCCTTCCTCCCGTGGGTTCCCAACAACAAATATTCACATTCCCCCCAAGTATTACTTCTATAGACTATTATGTCATCTTGTTTTTATTCTGTTAGCAGGCGGCTAATGCTAAGAAAACAAAGTATGTGTATACTCCGCTGGACCAGCTTAAGGTCGGGGAAAGAGTGAATGTCTATGGAGTGGTGGTTTTCTTCAAACATCCCTTTATGTCCAATGGAACAGGTGAGTTTAGAGGACGCCTACTGACTGTATCTCGGACAGTATCTCGGACAGTATCTCGGACAGTATCTCGGACAGTATCTCGGACAGTATCTCGGACAGTATCTCGGACAGTATCTCGGACAGTATCTCGGACAGTATCTCGGACAGCAGTATCTCGGACAGCAGTATCTCGGACAGCTGTATCTCGGACAGCTGTATCTCGGACAGCTGTATCTCGGACAGCTGTATCTCGGACAGCTGTATCTCGGACAGCTGTATCTCGGACAGCTGTATCTCGGACAGCTGTATCTCAGACAGCTGTATCTCGGACAGTATCTCGGACAATATCACCGCACTTTATACACTTTTCTAACAACCTTAACTTATGCCTGCTGATGTGTGATCGCAGAGATATCAAACACACTTAGGTCTGTGTGCTGCTGCAGCTGTCAAAAGCCGTCTATACACTGTAAAATACAGCTGCAGAGGACACAGAGGGGCAGGAGCAGGACTGAGGGCTATGGGAAGGCCGCGGTAGTCCTCTGATCTAATCACCGCGCTGCACACAAGCCTCAAAAGTTTTATTCTGACGTGTCATGTTATACTCGCGGTTACATGATGTTGGAGTATACATGCAGCAGATAAGAAGCACACTGTAAAAAGAAAAGCATGCAAAAAAAAATACACTGCGAAAGGGGACCAATGTACAGTAATTATTGTTACAGTTTTCAGTCTAGGTATTCATGTTTTCTATAGGGGTAGTTTAGGGCAACCAGGGAATTGTACAATCCAGAATGACTGCCAGTAAATATATATCAATAAATAAATATGTAATGGACAATACATGAGCAGGGTCATGCTGTAAAACACAGATGCTTTGCATGTTCAGTCGCATATTAAACATTTATTCAAGAAGGTGACAAATACAAGGCACATTTCTCGTAACGATGCAAGTGCAATGATGATGCTAACCTGAAATTAGCTCCAGCTAAAGATAGGAAAGCTGGGTGATGAGACTGTGTGGGCGCTTGGTCTCTATGATCTGCCCTGCCCATTCAGGACCCCCACAAGGTTGAAGAGCGTGTGTAAGAAGGGGGGGGGGGCTCAAGAGCTTCACACTGTGAAAGATGCATTAAAGGGTTCCTGGATTTGAGGCATGGTCTCGCTCAGTTCAATCTAAGTAAGTAAGTAAGTAAGTAAGTCAGCTTTATTTATATACCGCCTTTCACAGACCAGAGTCACAAAGCGGTTTACAATTGTTATTTTTTGGGCACTTGTCCTCTCACTCCACACAGAGATGGGAGCGGGGTCGCCTCCCATCTGAAGAGAATCTGAGTCTGAAGAGACTCAAGAAATAATTTATTTTATACTGTACAGGAAATGAGGTCATGATTAGGGGTTATGAATGGGGGTTATAATTAGGCACTTACTGTAGTGTGAAGTGAGAAATGGGGTTATTATAGGCGCTTAGACCCCGGCAGAGCCTTTATTGTCCAACAAGGGAAAATAGGTTGTGCAGCAAGCAAACATTTAAAAACAGACCGTAAAAACACAATACTATTGAATATAGTAAGGACAGGAGAGAAGAGGATGTCACAAAGCTAGGTTAAGTCAGAATTAGAATCATTTTTATTGCCACTTAAGTAACAAACAAAAGTTACCACTTGGAAATTGTTTTGGCAGAGAGCGTGCCACTTCGCCATTTGCGGCGCTGTGTGTTAAGTGCAAATATGCTGCAATAGTTTGTGTAAAACTGCTGTTGGGATGAAGGTAGTCTCTGTCCAGGGCCTAAACCCTGGTGGTCAGAGCTAAGGACCACCAGGTAGAAGAGCTGGTCTTGCTCATGAGGCTGTGATGGGAAGGGGGAGGGTTGGTGCTCGAGCTGAATGCTCGATGACTATGCAGGGCAGCTGAATGTGATTGACTGATTGCTGGCGCGGTTTCCTTCAGACTTTCAATTTATTTTTTCTTTTAGATTATTGCTCATCCATAAAGATTACCGACAAGTCTAACCTGAAAATTGGATGCAACATTTTTCTTGCGAATATGGAAGAGCATCCTCAAATATTTCAAGTTGGAGACATCATCCGCTTGCATCGAGTCAAGGTAATCTACTCGCTGTTGTATAGAAGTGATAAAGTTAACTTGTTTTCACCAGTCCTACCTGGCCCTACTCTTCTCTACCCTATACTGATTAGGAGTGTTTCCACTGGCCCTGTTTAACCGGTACCAGGTCCTTGTTGAGTCCATCTTTGCCCTGGTTCGATCCAGCTGGTTCTTAAAGTAGCAGTATGTAATATTTGCATGTCAAGTCATCATTAAATGGCCCCCATATTTCAAAAGGCGTTATTAAATCATGCTCTTTTTGTGTACATCTTTAACTGATAACAGTAGTTCAGCCGAGATATTTGAAAATCAAAATTAGTTTTACGACCCGTAAAAGTTGTTATTGTTTTGATTTTGATGTCCTACCCTCCGCCGTTTCGCCAATCAGGAAGTGTCATGTAAGTCCGTGATCTGGTTGCCAGAACTCCGCGCGGCTCACTAATCTCACTGGTAAAATAACATGTGGCCGCAGAACTAAAAAAGGTCTTATTATGACTCTCAAATAATTAATGACAAAACATAGACTAAAACGAGGATTTATATCGGGACGCCTTTGAACAATTGAGACGGCTGATAAAAGTTCACGTGTGATGCAAAATTTGCTGGTTTGACTCCGTTCTTCAGAGTAGTACAGTATTTCCAGCGCGAATCGTTGGTGCAGTGGTTAAAACTACGCGCTCACGATGCAGTAACTCGGGTTCGATTCCGGACAGATTCTTTTTGTATTTAATTGCATGTTATCACATTCTAGGACAGATTGCTCTAAATACGGTAAAAGACGAAGGTCAAGACGTTTTTTGCAGATTATAGCTTAATTGTAAAAAGAATCATTTAAGACCACATGTACCCAATTAAAATAAGGTTAGTCTCTTTTTGATGTGGGACTTATACATGTTTCTCTAAAAAATAGGGAATAAATACAATTGAAGGGTGATATCCTCTGGAGCAAACCCTGAAGTTGATACGATGAAGAAATACGTTCCAACATCCATTCTTCCCACTCCTATTTTGGACATCAATTGCTTATTTATTTTGGATAATCTATAAATACATAGCTTTTATTATGTTTTTTTAAAAATCTCAAATAGTAATAAAAAATTAAACATTCATTCAACATTAGCATGCCTCATGGCAATGTGAATGGAGACAGACAAACAACTGATAAAATAATTCCCTGTGTTTGCTGCTGGATTTGGTGTGTATCTGGCAACCTGAGTCAGGGAGAGTGGGAGAGGACTACAAAATATTGACTGTGACTGCAGTACCGCTTTTGGCCAGATGTTTACATATTGTTCCTTTAAGTGTTCTAATTGACAGTGATTGGCGTGCTGCTTGAAGCCATGGTTACCACAGAATTTCCCTGAATACTGGTTTGTCGTGGGTATGTTGCTAGGATATGGTACCAGATACTAAAGCATAAAGGAAACAGTTGGGCTGGTGGACAAGGGGCTATAGTAAAGTGAACACGTGTGGTCCCATTGCACATTTTGACTGATTATTGCACAGAGTCATTGACTATAAGCCGTTACTTTTTCCAGTTCTTTAAACCCTGCTGCCCATATATAACGATGTGGCCAATGTATGTATTTTTCTTTTTGTTTAGAGCTCCCTTTGGGCTTTTGAAAAGTTCTCATAGTTTAGCTACCTGACATGTTTCTGCGCTAGACTTCTGCATTCGTCTGGGGTGACAATAGAACCAGCAATAAAACATACATTTTAGAAACAGGAAGAGCCGGTTTTGAAAGAAGGAATGCACAAAAAAAGTAAACCTCAAATTAAATCAGCAACATCCGAGAGAGGATGTCATATAATGGACTGCGAAAAAGGAAAAATAGTAGGACAGAGGAACATAAGCACAGAAGAGATTGAAATAAGGAAGTAGCATCAACAAGGATGAGGGGGCATTCACCTTGGCTCACACTTCTCCAGAAGAAGTCTACCACTGAGACATGCAGTTAATTAAGCAGGACTAGCTTCTTTACACTCTTTGTCTTATTAAAATAATCTTCTTTATCTTCATTATGTCTTCGTTATGCTCACCGGTAGATAGGCCAGGAGCATAAAGAAGACATAATGAACTTTAACACTCAGTGCCACCTGTTTCTCTGTCTAGGTGAACTCTTTTAACGCCGTCTCCTTGATCAACACGTTTGGCTTTTCTGCCGTGACCTTTGACGGCAAAGAGGGGGAGCCCGTGGAACCTCGGACCTCCAGTCAGACCTTCCACTTTGATGCAGACGACGAGCGCATGGTGGAGGAGTTGAGAGCGTGGTCCTCCAGCCAGGCCCTAATACCCCCCACCCCAAGCATGACTCTGTCTATGGTGCAGCCCAGAACCTACTTTGACCTGAACTGCCAGCTCCTCGCCAAAGCGCCCATCGACTCATCCTGCACTCTGCTCAGGGTAGGAGTGTAAAATGTATCTTCATTTGTCAATAGAACACATATTTTTGTCTTGTTGTCGGGCAGAAGCAGTATTTTCTCTTTCCAAATGAGATATTTTTCATAATTTATATCAACTGCCAAAATGTTTTGCCAAATCAAATTCCTCATTTGTGACCTCCTGTTGCTTACAATGGCAATTCAAATTCGGAATCTAATACAACTTGGATCTGACTTAAGTGTGAAAATATAAAAACCTACCATACTTCTTGGGTGTTTAAGCAGGTAGCAGCATCAATGACATTTTAAAAGAAATTAAAGTTTGTAAATGTTTTCATGCTGTGAGGTGTATTGCATACATTTTATATAGCACTTTTCAGGACACACATTATTCTTTCACTCCATACAGTCCAGAGAGAGTGAGTCCAGAGAGAGTGAGTCCAGAGAGAGGGAGTGAGAGTTCAGAGAGAGGGAGTGAGAGTCCAGAGAGAGGGGAGTGAGAGTCCAGAGAGAGGGGAGTGAGAGTCCAGAGAGAGGGAGTGAGAGTCCAGAGAGAGGGAGTGAGAGTCCAGAGAGAGGGGAGTGAGAGTCCAGAGAGAGGGGAGTGAGAGTCCAGAGAGAGGGGAGTGAGAGTCCAGAGAGAGGGGAGTGAGAGTCCAGAGAGAGGGGAGTGAGAGTCCAGAGAGAGGGGAGTGAGAGTCCAGAGAGAGGGGAGTGAGAGTCCAGAGAGAGGGGAGTGAGAGTCCAGAGAGAGGGGAGTGAGAGTCCAGAGAGAGGGGAGTGAGAGTCCAGAGAGAGGGGAGTGAGAGTCCAGAGAGAGGGGAGTGAGAGTCCAGAGAGAGGGGAGTGAGAGTCCAGAGAGAGGGGAGTGAGAGTCCAGAGAGAGGGGAGTGAGAGTCCAGAGAGAGGGGAGTGAGAGTCCAGAGAGAGGGGAGTGAGAGTCCAGAGAGAGGGGAGTGAGAGTCCAGAGAGAGGGGAGTGAGAGTCCAGAGAGAGGGGAGTGAGAGTCCAGAGAGAGGGGAGTGAGAGTCCAGAGAGAGGGGAGTGAGAGTCCAGAGAGAGGGGAGTGAGAGTCCAGAGAGAGGGGAGTGAGAGTCCAGAGAGAGGGGAGTGAGAGTCCAGAGAGAGGGGAGTGAGAGTCCGAGAGGGAGAGAGGGGAGTGAGAGTCCAGAGAGAGGGGAGTGAGAGTCCAGAGAGAGGGGAGTGAGAGTCCAGAGAGAGGGGAGTGAGAGTCCAGAGAGAGGGGAGTGAGAGTCCAGAGAGAGGGGGAGTGAGAGTCCAGAGAGAGGGGAGTAGAGAGAGGATGAGAGTCCAGAGAGAGGGAGTGAGAGTCCAGAGAGAGGGGAGTGAGAGTCCAGAGAGAGGGGAGTGAGAGTCCAGAGAGAGGGGAGTGAGAGTCCAGAGAGAGGGGAGTGAGAGTCCAGAGAGAGGGGAGTGAGAGTCCAGAGAGAGGGAGTGAGAGTCCAGAGAGAGGGAGTGAGAACCCATCGAGAGAGTGCGAGCCCAGCGTAAACTTTCCTCTTGAAATAAATGCTTTGTTGTAAACCTCTGGCTCCGAGGCAAGTAGAGCCTAAAATCCCGAACATTACGGTAAGAGAAACCCTGGGGAAGGGGCTCAGTGTCAGCAGTTGGAGGACTGAGTAGAGGGCATTGACAGAATCTTGGTTTCAGTCTCTTGTCGGCCCTGACTGGTAGGTTTGTTTATTTATTGTCAAGGGAGTTGTATTCTCGATCAGAGGCTCAGAGCCGTGCAGTGCATCAGAGAGGACCTGAGCGGGGGAGTGTCCTGCTGTGTACTCCCGTGTGTTCAGAGTCAGCGGGACTGCTCTCACGGGGCTGTTTACTGTCAGATCCCATCAGCCTCTGCCTCCTGCTGCTTTCATTTACAACTGATATGACTTCAGGCTTTCTCCGGGGCCCATGAAGTTCGAAGTCTTGTGGGAAACGGTATATACAGTGCATTCGGAAAGCATTCAGTCCACTAAACACGTTTTTAATAATTTTGTTATGTCACAGCCTTGCTCCGAGATAGATTTTTTTACTTATCAATCTACTGGTTATAGCACACAATTCGCACGCTGTTGATTTATTCCTAGAACGTAACCCCCGCTGTAAACGAGGGACCACCGTATTGTCACATGCAAATTCACATTGATTTTGTTGTTGTTGACCTTGATAAATTTGCTCCTGTTTAACTTGACCCAGTGTGTGTGATTCCATAGCAATAGGTAACATTCCCCATTTTAGAATACAAGGTAGCTTGGCACACTCTGCTCTGATGTCCACACTGTTTAATTATCCATGACGATTCGGCTTTATGCCTTCATCATATCATGTTTCTCTTTTTCTTTTTTTTCAACAAATTACTTGTATTTCATTTTTTGGACATCAGAGCTGAGTGTGCAATACTACCCTGTTGCATCTGCACCTCCATTAATTGTTTTTTCTTTGGTGTGTGATACCTGCTCTTTCGACATTCCACGTTTTGTCATTGTTAGGAATTTATTAAAAACCTTGCCTTTTACTGTAACCAGCAACATCGACAAGCTTTGAAGGTTCTTAAGACAGTATTAGTGTAAAGACGCTAATACTGCTTCATTACCATATTTGGGCGGTAGACTTCTGCCTTCCTTAGAGGAGTGTGACGGTGTGACATCAGCTGCTGTTACCGGATGCGGTCAGTCTGCAGACCCATCAGACAGACCACTCCCCCCCCATGCGCTGTGATCTCTGGAGAAGTGAGTCCCAAGTGTGAGCCAAAGTGAAAGCCCCCTCGTCTCGGTTGATGGTCTATTTGCCCCACTTCCTGATTTCAGCCACCTCTCGTATCCACCTTTTGTATTTATTCTTCTGTCTGTAGGTTCGACATCATCCCAGTCCATTATATGATGTTCTCTTTCGCAGTGGTCAGATGTTGCAAATGTTTGCAATTTCTATGTTGCTTTTTCCCATAGTTTATAATAATGCTGCCGTTTCTTTTTCACATTCCACCTGATGTTCCATTAATTACCTAAGACATCCTTTTTTTTGTCCCGCAGTGGGGATTTTTTTTTTCTGATGCTGAGAGCTCTTCCTGTTTCTCTGATGTATGGTTCATTGCTGGTTCTACATGGGATTGTATACCGTCTTTTGGCCGTACAAGCATTTTGTCCGGTTTAATTATTATTGCATTGAGGTCGTGTTGTCCAAGTGCTCTTTGTATGTGCCCCGTGACCCCTCGTATGTATGCTATGGTAACTATATCTTTGTGTTTGTTGTCTCTTGCTGATAAAAGACACGTCACATCTTTACCTTGTTGTCGTTGTTGAGATTTACAATGCTCGCCGCTTCAATGACTCAGTGTATTTTTGCAGATGGAATCCAATCTGCTCCATGTTAGCAGAGAAAGTAGATGAATGTTAGCCTGGCTGCCCATGAGCACATGCTTCCTCTTCTGTACAAATACTACCGTCTTGAACCAGGTGTTGGCCCTAAATCAGCATTAGCCTCATTAACAGGTGCTACTCTACAGCGTGTTGTATTGTGTTGGTGTGTGTCTGCTGTCTCCCAATCCTTTTTATTTCCAAAAGCACTGATGCCTACTCTCGCTTCTGATCGGTGTAATAATTGTCCATCTTCTGTGTGATGGCTGCGTTCTTAAGTTTTATGGAGAGCCCTAAGTGTGGATGTGCCAGTGCCGCTGATAGCAGATAAATGTGAGCTGTATTTGGCAGAGCACAATGGTTTTCTGCCAGCCTGTTTTTTGGGAGCAGCAGCCGGCTGTTACACAACTAAACAAACAAACACACTTCCAACCAATACATGTTGTCGTAAAGGCCCACTGTTCGCACTCCTTTTTTCATGTATTGCCTTAACTCTAATGTTTACAGCTTGGTAGCACTTTTTCTACCCCTCTTCCACCTCCTCCCCTCATCCTGCGTCCACTTTTGGTATTGTTTTTGCAGTAGTTATCATATTCATTTAAATATTGACAACCCTTTTGGAGTTTCGGTCCCAAATGTCCAGGTGTATGCAGATGGGACAACCCTGAGTGGTACAGGGTAAAAAAAAAAAGACATCCTTGATATTTCTCATTAATTACCCTAAATGTGTTAAATAGAGCGTGATTCCGAGCCCGGCGGGACCATGGGAGCAGATCACCTTCTCAATGTGGGCTTCACCAAGGTTTTTTTTTTTCGCTTTTTCTATTTTTTGGAGTAATTCCTTGCCGATGCAGGAAGATCATGGACAGTGATGATCCGCGACCATTTCAGGACATTTATGAACATTTATGGAAATCATTATAACATTATGGTCATCCTGCTCCCTATGGACCAATGGCTCCTATGTGTGCAATAATGTGTTAATGTTGCATTTCCTGAATTCGAAAGCTTTGATTTTCTGATCTGTTGTTGGCAAATCGATGTTTTCTAATAATCGTTGAAACTGGTCTAATGCAGGTGCGATTATGAGAGTAATGTTTGCTTGTGTGTTCCAGGTGTGGGATGGGACCAAGTGTCCGCACACACTGCAGAAGGTGCAGGTGGAGCCAGGTACAACTGAAGGACCCTCCTCCTTCTCTGCTGAACGAGAGAACGTCATTGCCAATGTCCTGGTCTACGACAACCACGTGGAGGTCGCCAGCCAGCTCAAGGTCTGCTGTGGCTCTACATGAATATTTGCGTCTCTAACTCTTTGAACCACACAAAATGGGTGATATTATCCATCAAACTAGATCCTCGCTAGCCCGGCCTTAGCCATCCGTTAACTCCGGTCAATTATTATTTGTCTATTTGTACCGTCTGGGTCGGCTCCCAGTGAATGTATTTACATTGTTTGAATCCCATGAAATCCATCGTTTTCTATAAATCCACACACTCATCCCGCTCTAGCTCCACTCTGATTGGTTACAACGCTCACATGTTACTCTAGTCCTGTGGAAGTAGAACCTCTATACACCTACTGCACAAGACCAGAAGAACCAGAGCTGGCCAGAATGTGTCACTTCCATGCAAATGTTAGAAACGTCCGTGGTGCTAGCATGCGTCAATGAGCACAGGCCATTGATCTGAATGGACAGACATCTTGGAGACTTGGGGCTTGGTTGAAACCCAGTTCTTCTGTTGATAAATCCAACATTTATGGATGATTTTCCCCCCAGCACAAGCCTTTTTTATGGCATTAGTAGCTGATGTCTAAAACGAAATCAAAGCCTACCACTAATTGCGCACAGCACAATCATCCAATATATTCTATTCAAAAACAATCTGAAAGCGCTATTGTTGACTATTCTATTGTCTCCTTTTCTTTGAATCATGTTTAGACGTTCATTTCTTCCTATCAGTGGATGTCCATTGCACAAAAACAGAGTCAAGGCTGTCGTATCTCATGTACAAAAAGCCCAACTCCTGAAGCATTACAACATCATCCATTAGGAATGATTCAATTTCAGGAAATGGCTGTTTTTGTACTGCTTCCTCTGTGAGGGCTTAGACTGGAAGAACGCTCGGCTTTGACAGTAGCTGAATGTGCCGTGGAGTGATCCGTACACCGCGATAGAGCATATCCACATTTATTCCAGGATCAGACCTAAATTGCATTGTGTCTGACAAAACCCGGAGATACGGCCCTCGCACTGCTCCAAGACAGTGTGACAGAAGTACTTCATCACGCTCCTTCATACTGTATGTCTCAGGGATAGAAGTAGTTTTGAGGTTGTTATAATAGGTTGTTTTCATGTCGGAGAATTCAATAATAAGGTTGTTTTCATGTTGGCACCTGCTGAAACACTGCTGAATTTCAGTATTTCAGCAGGTGCCAATACAACTCCATTAGAAAAAAGCACTTTTTGAAAGAAAATGTTGTTTTCCCAGATAATTAATTTATTGTGATTAGATTCACAAAGCTGCTGTATTTCGATACTGACCACCATACATATATTGTTAGTGCCAATCAAAGTTATTAAACTCAGGGACTATAGGTTTCATCCTGGTACATTGCATCTCTCCATTTGGCTAATGGTACTAGGCCCCTATATAAATAAGAATCATACCATACTATACTATACCTCCCCTCCTCACACAGAGCTCTCATTAAGCAGTGTCCATGTTTTCTTCTAGTGCTGATGATGTAGCACGCATTCCTGCTTCTTGTGTTTATGTGAACAGCAGGGAGACGAGGAAGTGTAAGGAAATACACACTTTGATGTGATTAGGACTACAGTCAGTTTATGGACACATTATTTCAACGGTGATCCATGGGTTTATAGAGTTGTTGATCTGCTTTATTTAGAGACGTTTGTGATTCACATTTTACTTGTTTAGCACACTAATTGCCTCCAATTATTTTTATTTTCTTTATCTCAGATTGTCTAATTTGCCACAAAAGGTTTAGTATTAGCCAGAGATTAAAAACATTTATTATTCTCTATTCCTAAAAAATGAACTGTTTAATGCAGGCAGGTCCAAACTACGGCCCATTTTATATGGCCCTGTTTTTCTAACCTACCTCATTGGAAATCTTTAGAATCCAGCGTCAATCAAATTGTGTGTACAGACATTTGTTTTTGAACAATCACACAAGACATTGAAATCATATGTAGTTACAGTACATTAAAAAGTGGCGATAAAATCCATCAGTTGTGTGCACAGCTAAACAGAACTGTTTTGAACCTGGATGAACATTTTCAGAGAAGAAGGTTGCCTCACATTTTCAGGAAAACTGTTCCAGATTCTAGCAGCATGAATCTGAAATGCTGCCGCCCCATGTTCAGTTCTGACTCTGGGCACCAGCAGGAGGCCAGTCCCTGTGCTCCTCAGAGTCAGAGTTTGTTCATATGGCACTAACATTTCACAGATGTATTTTGTGCAAGGCCATAGAGAGACTTGTAACACAATCAAAGCTGTTTTAAGTCTATTCTGAGCCACAAGAAACCAGTGCAGAGACCTGAGGACTGGAGTCATGTGATCGTACTTCCTGGTTCTTGTCAGGACTCAAGCTGGTGAATTTTGAATACTCTGCAGCTGTGTTACACCTCATTTGGAGAGACCTGTGAACAGGCCATTACAGTCTAACCTAGACATCTGTCATTCAGCTAACTTCAGCTTTGTCAAATGTACATCAAAATGAACAGGTCATACCTCATTTTCAGAACAGGCTGAATCAAGTCTGTACAGTTTTACCATCTGGGTTGCCGGCCCCTGGATTCTGGTGAACTAAAGTTACCCTCTTACTACAAATTTTAGACACCCCTGGTTTAATGCAACTCCAATATGCACTTTTATCTTCAAGGACCCTTTACAACCCTTTTTGAACAGGAACCTTGTGTATATTAAATGACATATGCCGTGCCCTATAATTCTATTGACTGCTGACCATAATAGCAGTCCTTCCTATTTTCATAGCCTCTTGAGCTGTTTCCTCCCCAGATGTAATCAGTACGACTCGGCTGCCCAGAGAGGTCCCTGGTTTTACAAGGACACCGAACATGTAATAACGGAAAATTACTTCAGTCGCACTTTCCGACCTCAAGCTCAAACATGTGCCTGTTAAAGCTGGACGTCTACCCTTCACCTTCTCCACGTCTGTAAAATGTGATTCTCGTGATATCTCGGGAAGTCGATTACCTGAAGGATAATGTGTATAATTGAACAGATTTCACTCTACCTCAAATCATTTAATAGCAAAATTTAACAAATAAAATGGCTCCTTTTTTAACAATAAACAACCTTTTGCTTGGAAAATGAGAAAACATAGTTTGTTGATTTTTACATGCCTACTGTAATCTCATGGGACAACAGTGGCTCAGTAGGTAGAGCATTGGCCTTTGAACCCGGAGTTCATGGGTTCGATCATCACATGAGACCTTCTCCACCGACTCCCACTGATGTCTGCTGTCGTTGTGTCCTTGGACAAGACACTTAACCCCGCTTTGCCTGAAGCCCTCGCTGAAGGACCAAGGCTATGCTATCACCGACAGAGCAGCTGTCCTCCGGTGGACTCATCACCTGCCGGAGGAGCATTGAGGGTCTAGTGCATCTTGGGTGGCATCTTTGAATGCCACCCTTGACCCAGAAATTGAATTAAATTAAGGGGAAGACGATGGATCGATCGATGTAATCTCATCAAAAATGGTTTGAAGGGCCAGAAAGCTGAGATAATAAAGAATCAGAATCAATGTAGAATTTTGCAGAATTCACTACATTGGAATACAAACAGGAGACACCGAGGGCACCAACACCACAAAGCACACACACACAAACAAAAGGGTGTACCAAAAAGAAGGTGTTCAAATCCAGCTACCATTCACTCCCACAAAACCTTTGGCTCATCGTATGTATACTCAATACAATACAATACAATTAAATTTATTTTTGTATAGCCCTAAATCACAACAGTATCATCTCAGAGACTTAACAAAACCATTGAAATCACCAACACAGATCAGAGATTCAACAATGAAGACACAAAAAGAATATAGAACACATGTTGATAAAATGTCCATACATGTTGTCGAATGTTAAAGTGTCCTGGATCATCACCACAGTCCTTCTAGTTGGACACTAACTGCCCAACAGACCCTCCTGCATTGGCAAGAAAAAACTCATAATACTCATGCCTGAATGCTTGCACGCCAGCTTTTTCACACCCAAAAGTGAGTCAGGGTGGATTGCTCATGCATCAGCCAATCAGCTTCTAACAGCCTCATAGTGCAGAGGTGTGGACTCGAGTCACAAGATTTTGATGACTCAAATTTTGAGCGACCAAAACCTAAAAAAAAACTTGCAACTTGGTTATTATTGTTAATCTTTATTTGAGACTCAAATTAAATTGGTCCACATTTTAAGAGACATATTCGATTTATATTGAACATATCTGACACAAGATTATGAGATTTGATACAATGTTGATACTTGACCCATCCTGGTGTTAGATGAGCTCATTCTGTTTGATCCGTCAGCCAACTAAAAGACAAAGCTTCCAAACTTTAAAAACGAATAATGTTAGATGTTGCAGCTATAGTTCTGCCTCTATTCTCTATTCTGCCTTTTGTTGGAAATTCTTGTTTGATGAGTGGCACAGAAGTGTATTTTTTAACTATCAGAAGTCTGTCAGAGCTGTCAGACACTTCTCATTTTGATGAACAAATCACAAACTCTTATATTTTTATTGTTCACTATTTGGTTCATTCCCCAATCCATTTCTCCTCGCGCTGTAAAGTCCCTCCCATGAATCTGCTTCATTATCACCATAAGAAGCGCTTTTCTGATTTCCAGCATCTGTGAGAGTTTTTGAATGTTGTTTTTATCGGTTTATCTCCATCGGTCCACAACTCTATCCTCCACAAACTCTGCGTAGATCTGTTACCGCCGTCTTTATTAACGCACAATTACACTATAGCCTGTGTGCTGGATGTGCGAGAGCATGGGGGGTGACGGAGCCTCGGCACAGATGGCACGGCCGCGTGTGAGAGCACTTGTTTTTTTTTCTCTGGCTGTTTTTTTCGTCAGTGTGTGAAATTTTAGCCGGAGTGGAAATATTAAATTAAAGATCGGGTTAAATTTAGCTTTGGCTGTTGCTGCGTGGCAAAGCAGACACTGGTGTTGAGATATGACAACGCTTCGAATGTCGTTTCCCGAAGAGTATGTTCCCGAA